GTGTATTAAAGAGCTCAAAATGTATGCACTTGCATTTTAGTTGGAAATTTTAATGTTTCATGATATTTTACTTGATAACAAGTCCAAATGTATTTGAAGTCAGTTGTTCCGCTCTGCTATTTGAAATCAGTTGTCCCGCTCTGCTAAACATGCATAGTAGTTCAAACAAGAAGTCTGTGAGCTCTGATGTGAATATACCTTCTCATGTTGACATCGAATTCATACAAAAATGAATCCCACCATTTCGTATGCCTAAACAAAGATTATGTTAAAATATCAAGCATCTGCGTTGAGTAGTTGCTAAGAAAATTGTGACAGATATTTGGTACGGACATATGCAAGGATAAACAAGAAGTTGACATCGGATTCGAACAAAAACCAATCCCATCACATGGCATGCTTAAATAAATGTGCTAAAATTTCAAGAATCTGCTCTGAATAATTGCCGAGAAACTGTGACGAAAATTTGGTACGGACATCACACGGATACACAGGAAGTTTAAACAAAAATCATTAATGAATTAATGAATCCCACCATATGGCATGCCTACACAAAGAGTGTGCTAAAATTCAATCATCTGTGAATCGTAGTTGCTGAGAAAACTGCGACAAAAATTTGTTAAGGACATACACATAGACCGACACACAAGGGTAAAACAGTATAACCCCCCCCCCTCTCCTTAGGAGCGGGGATATAATTAACTATTGAAAGGCAATTGCAATATTTTGTGAAGTGCGTATTTTAACGTTCAAATAATTTCTCTCTCGAATAAAACAACGTTGATACGATCGTTGATTTATTGTGTCGTTTGGTTGCACTCGTTTGCACTAGAGATTGTTGTTGACATGAAACGTGGTGACAGCAGCTGGAATATGCAGAGAATAATGCAGGAGTCAGGTGATTTTATTTAAACAGTACAGGGCTATACCGTCACGGTAGCTCGGTCGGTAGAGCGCTTGCTCCGTGATCGGGAAGTAGTGTGTTCGAATCACGGCCGCGACTGATCTAAGTAGATAAAAAAAGGTAGCAACTCTTCCTTCGCCAAGCGCTCCGCACTTTGAAGTAAAGGTTGTGGGTCTTTCCCATGAGACCTTAAAAACCGAGGCCCCGTGTCATGGTAGGCGTTGATACGATAAAGAACCCTCACTGCTTATTGGTCCTGACTGCCGAATAAAGGCCCTGCATCTATATATAGTGAACACTTATTCTCCAACGGAACGTAAAACAACAATCAATCATCAATCCGGGATTTAATAGCAGATAAAGGCTTCTTTTACCTGTTTGACGGGAAGTTGATGCAGATAATTATAGAAACCATGGAATACAGAGATCTGCACCCCTCCGTTTCACTCGGGTAATCTTATCCTATTGACCGTTCACGGTAGCTCAGTCGGTAGAGCGCTCGCTCCGTGATCGGGAGGTCGTGAGATCAAATCTCGGCCGCGACTGACCTAAGTCGATAAAAAAATGGGTAGCAAATGTTCCTTCGCCATGCACTCGGCACTTTGAAGTGAAAGTTGCGGGTCCTTCGGATGAGACCTTAAAAAACGAGGCCCCGGGTCACGGCTGGCTTTGGCACGATAAAAATCCCTCACTGCTCAATGGCCCTGAGTGCCGAGTAAGGTCAACATTTGAAGCCCTTGACCGGTATATGCTGACGTTTCTATATGAGTGAAAAATTCTCGAATGGGACGTTAAACAACATACAATCAATCAATCTTATCCTATTGCGATCTTTTTCATCCGTCGTCGTACCTTAACAATTTCATCCAATTTAATTTGGTACATAATGGGCATGGGGGAGGGCAAAAATTTTGAATTTTATAGGGCCTGAGGGGAGGCGCCAAAACAATCACAATGCAATCTTCAGAAATCTTCATTACTCCTTGACATCAAACAGTCAAACACCAAGTGTTAGCAGGATTATAATAAGAATTGATCCCTCTTCCAAAATTATGAAAGTCATGGCCCCTTGATCAGGGGCACTGGTGCTAGGACAGGGCTTTTTTATCATTTAGTGAAAATGCATCGGTTCTTTTAAACAAAATCTTCTCTAATTCCTCCGTATATATCTAGCAGATAAGCTTAATGCATGTTTAAGATAAGCAAGAATGCCCAAATTATAAAATTGTGAAATTTATGACCCTGCAGTCAGAGATTAAGATGCTAGAGCGGGATCCCATTGATAGTAGTAAAAAAAACACTAATTATTCCTGGTTATATAACAGGCAAACTTGGTAAATGTTATGATAAGCACATCTTCCTAAATTGTGCAAATTATGACAGATTTAGAGGTTCTGGTGTTGTAAATGCGGGGCTGTATCGATAATATAGTGAAAATTCATTAATCCTTTTAAAATCTTCTGTTTTGCTCCTGTGTATTTAGCGGACAAACTTAGTGCATGGTTATAATGAGCAAGGGTGTCTCTACCTAATTCGTAAAATTCATGGTCCCTGGTTCAGGGGTTCTTGCGTAAGGGTGGGCTTTTTTTTCTTAAATTGTCAAGTTATGAATCCTTTACAATTCTACATATACTCAATGACCGTAAAGGCCGTGGGGCCTTTTATATGAGTGCACATAGGTATCAACAGGTACATACTATTCCGTTAACATCAATGCGAAATTACGGAATGTTGTAATTTAGAATATGATAATAGCAGTTGCATGTGCCTTGCCCCTAGTGTCTTTGTGAATCTCCCCTCCCAACACATGCATTGAAAGCTGCGCATCTTTATTGGCTTTAATTTGCAGGGAATTATAAGTCCTTGTAATTCAGGTCAATCAATTCATTTTTAGCTCACTTGAGGTGAAATCTCAAGTGATTTTTTCTGATCACCCGTTGTCCTACCGTCCGTCTGTCTGTCCGTCCGTCCGTTGGGTGAAGAGGAGTTTAAATTGTTAAAATGAAGGGCCAAGCCCCCTTACAAGGGGGAGATAATCAAGAAAAAACAAAAATAGGGTGGAGTCATTAAAAATCCACTTCTCGAGAACCACTAGACTAACTTATGTGGAAGCTTCCTGGGGTAGAGTAGATACTCAATTGTTCAAATCATGACCCCCGGGAGTAGGGTGGGGTTATAACAGGGAATCAAAGTTTTATATAGAAATATATAGGAAAATTCTTCTCAAGGAAAAAAAATTTTAAAAATCTTCTCAACAACCACTTGGCCAGATAAAACTGAAACTTGTGTGGAAGCTTGCTGTGGTAGTGAAGATTCAAAATTGTTCAAATCATGACATCCGAGGGTAGGATTAAGCCCAATAGGGGATAGGACTTTTACATTGAAATATGTAAGAAAAATCTTTATAAATCTTCTGAAGAACCATTTAGCCAGAAAAAGTGAAACTTGTATGGAAGCTTCCTGAGGTATAAGGGTCATCTACCGGTACTATCTGAGATGCATCAACAAGAAATAGTCTTCTACATCACATCTTTGGCAAAAAAAAATAAAAAAAAAAATAACACGTTTCTCATGATATATATTAGTAATTAATTTGTTCCACCTTTGCAGAGATAACAAGTAGAGGTTTTTCAAAAAGCTTACCGTCTTTAGCAATAACCTTGATCAGTAAACTTACCTAAACCTATCAGGCCGTATAATTATTGAAAATTTCTTGCCTTTGTATTTCTTCATTAGTTTTTTTTCTGACATAAGCTCTACCTAGTGAAACGTTAACAGATGCTCGGCTGTGTCCGTAAACTTCGACTCTGCTGCTGAGATCATTCGGCAAACCTCGGCTGATTCCGTCACCTTTGTGATATGTAGATGAGGTACGAATCGGCCGAGGTGTTGACGAGACTATAAAGACAGTGCAAAACGAAGGGAAAACGAATACATACAAGCTGTAAAGCTTGCATGCCATAAAGATCAATTCTGTTAACAATGAAATCATAGAAACGTTTTTTGGTAATTGCTATTAAAAAAAAAACTAGCATGTTAAATCGAATTAATTCGTTTTGTCATATTTTGTACGATTGAAAAATCTTGAAAAAATGTTAAGTCGTACGAAAATTAGATCATCAGAAAATTATCTCCCTCGCCTTAAACAGCATTTCATCCAATGAAATAATTAAAAATTTTCTCATCATGCAATTTCTACCAATCGCAAAAGAGAGGAAGTGCATAGTCCGAAGACTCTAAAATACTTCAACTCTGTATACCATCTTCCAAGGAAGACGGTAATGAAACGAAACCAAATAATTGGAATTATTTCTTGTCCAAGGGGCATAACTCTGTCAAAAATTGCTCGATTGTACCCAAAACAGAATTTAACTTAGATATTCTTAAATCTGTATACCAAATTTCATTTCGGTACGTTCAACCTTTGCGCTGACAATGGACGGAAACTGTTGGTGGACCGACAGACAGCAGCAAAGCAATGTGCCCTCCCCTCTTCGAAGGGGGATATGTATGTAAAGTGAAATCTACCTCCCCTCTTAATTAAACCTGATTAAATTTTTATACTTTGTCTTTCTTTTTCGTGCTTAGTGTAAAGAATAACTTTTTTTGCATTTAATTGTAGAAATATACATATTTGTAGAAGAAGCACAACAATGCATAAACAAAAAAAGATTATATAACATTTTCTTCTTCAAAACAACTGTTTGAGAGAGTTATAAATCTTGAATATAGTCTGTTTCCCTTTCATTTTGATCTCGTTGTTTTGTTCAACCCTTTTGTTTACGTGCAACAATACAAGGAACCCCTTTTATGTACATAACAATACAAGATGCCATTCCTATAAACGATAACTCGTAAATCAGCAATTTGTTGACCGTTTTTCACAACAGAGTTACCTTTCCTTAAAACACAACATCGTACAAATCAATTATTGGTGATTTACTTTTGAAATAATTTGATTTAATATATGTAAAGATTATACTCTATTTTGAGAATTTCACGTATTTATACATCTATTTATCACATGCTTTTCACCATAGGAGCAACTTGAAAAATAAGTTGAAAGGCCTATACTTTAAATGTTGTATTTTTCCAGATTTGCTTTCAAGATGGCCGACTGGAGACTTCCTTTGGATGGACGTAATCTGTCAAACATGTTGTCTAGGGAATGGTTCACTCCGTAGTACGTGTATCCATAGACACTGTCTCCGGCATGAAAATCTGTGTCCAGTCCGTGAACTGAAATAGATATTCATTAAGAAGTGACGAATCATTTATCAGTGAAAATACAATTTAATCAAAGATTTTGTCGTGTGTTGTTTTGTAATAGAGAGGACATTGAGATTTTACTAAATTCAATCAGTGGTATTATAATTAGAATACCTTTGAAAAATACCATTGTTACAGGTTGAAAAATTTAAATATTTAAAAACAAAACAAATGTCTTTATCGACCTTTGAAAATTTTAGCGACATGAGTATATAAATTAGATATATTTAAATTGTATATATACAGGGTGTTTCATAATATATGTTACATTTTTAAATCTAATTATTTTTCTTACCTATCATTATTCTATTATAAACTATATATCATTTTAAACAACAAATCCTGCATTTTTATTCCATATGAAAAAGTCAAGGAAATCATGGTATCACAATGATTAATTGTGACATAAACGCCAATGTCATTTTTTGAAAAATTTTCAAAATGGACTTATCAACTTATTTGCAAAATTGTAAAGCTGTTTTTCAATAGATGTTGCCAATATTCATTCAGAAGTTGATGAAGGAAATATTCCAAAAGAATGGAAGCTTTTTAGGATGCTTATCAGAAGGCTAGTAACAAGGTTAAAGGACAGGGACACGGACAATATGCGATAAATGACACAGTATTCCAGAAAGCCTACGGACTTCAATAACCAAAGATTTAATTGGTGACATGGAGACTTTGATAGTTTAGCAAACTCCTGCAAAAAGTGTCAGATAGATGTTTTCAGACATTGATGCTGGCAATATCAGCATTTCCAGCATATATTGAACTTTGAAATTTGATATAAAGTTATCAGCATACAGATTTTCAATATCGCAATACCCCAAGGAAAAAAGAATTTGTCCTCTGCATTCTCCAATCTCAGTCTCTGGGCCCTTTTCTGTAGGGGTTCTCTAGGAACAGGGTCTACAATCCTAGACCACAGATACCGAATGAGCTCAGAAAGAACACACAACTTCAAATGAGGAGTGTCTAAGCAAAAATGTGTGACAAGGTTATACAAATTTCGAGCAGCAACATTCATTTATAGTTGAAATAGTGGAGATCATTAAGAACATGTAATGTGGGCTTTTGACGTTGTGAAATTCAACGTAACAAAAATGACGTAATTTAGAAATTTCATTAATTTTCATTAATGTTTGAGATTTTGTCCAATGTGTAATATTTTAGTTGGTAATTGTACATAATGAATCTTACAGATACATGCATCAAGTTGATAAAAACGCTTGTCTTTATCTTTTTCTTGTGTTTGTGAAATTGATGATTCAAAATGTAACATATATTATGAAACACCCTGTATATATATATATATATATATATATATATATATATATATATATATATATATATATATATATATATATATATATATATAGGGATCACGCTAAATTGCATCGCAAAATGTTAGCCTTCTGATCTAAAATGACACCTATTGCATCACAATCGGGGGATTACAATCCTTTCTCTGAATCTCTAAAGCTTCCTGCATTGAACACTCGCCCTTTAGACAACCCTCCCTCATGCATAACCGCATGCGGTCTGTCCTCTGTTACAAATTTAACAACACCAGATTAGAATTCTCTTCCCGAATCCTTAAACAACAATCAATCAATCAATCAACCGAATCCTAAAGACCAGTGTAATTATCCAATTAAATTCTTTATTATAATTCAAATCTATACGGTACCAATTTTGATGTACCAGATGCGCATTTAATAAAGAGTTATATCCCTTTTTCTATCACCCAAGACATGATACATGTACATTATTGAGAATGGGAGAGATCCCTGGAAGGTATTCAATGATTACAAAATAACGCAATTAAGTCCTTTGTTCAACAAATACTTATTTTCTTAAATACATGTAGATTTTGATATCCACATTTCTCAGCTAATCCCATTTTCATCTTCCTCGTCAAGGGACAAATCGTCTCATTAATTCAAATTCGTTGGTAGTTTTCTTGCAGATGACATTCAAACACGAATTAAAACATGTCAAAAATCTTCATCCTAATACACATATTTATGTAATCTGCTGTATAAAACTAGTTGTCTCGATATTTTTTTCTTGATGGCGGAGAAATAACCTTCTAAGATTATCATAACATATGTCCTAGTAAAAGCTGCCTTTCACGTATATAATTGTTTCCAATTAAGGAGGCTCTGTGGTCAACAAATTACCTAACAGATCCATCTTAAAACATGAAATGTTATTTTTATAGACATAAACTTTTTTTTAGGAAAACAATTGGTATACGTTATACACAGATATTCTTTTCCCTGAGGTATATAGTCTAAAAATGGCCCTTTTAAATGTTATTTTCATTATTGTAATCGATGTATCTTTCAATTAAATAGGTGTTTTGAACACAATCATTACTATCTTTATTACAAATTATACATATTTTCAACTAACTACATCTTTTTTTGTTAACTTGAACTTTACAAATATTTTTATATTTAAGATGCGACATTAAAAGAAATTCAGAATAATTTCGTTCAATATTCTGGTGACTAGAATAAATTTAATTTATTTATATAAAACTCTGTTCTTTAATTAAATCTACAGTGTCTATTTTTGATGATCTAAATATTTATAATTACCCATCAAATAAAGTATACCTGGTCAGTATCTTAAATTGCATAAGTGATAACTTCCATATATTAAAACATTTAGATTACTTCACATTTTGTTAGAATAGATGCAAATTAAAATAATATGTATGAATACAAATTAAGATGTAGTGCATGTCATGAGTGCGGAAGAAAACAACAGTGGTCATATTTAGAATTTTTGATTAAACCTTATGATCCTGAGCTGTTAGGCATCCGTATATGTATAGATTTTTCTTTAAATTAGTAAAGAATCCCTCTCTAGAATTGTCAAGGACGAGATTAATGTTAAGGTCTCATTCATACATTTAAATATTTATATTCTTTTTATTTGAAAACGACACAAACAACAGATGTTAAAACAATTTGAGAATTAGCATTTATCTTAACTAAAAAAGTAAACTTAGACAGATGCTGCTGACTAGTTAATCAGATTATTCTTTTTTGAAAATGCGAAATTTACATTCATGTTAATTCATGTTAATTGAAATTCTGCTAAAGAATAATCTACTCTTTACAGGACAAAATCATGAACACACTTAGTAATAAGAAAACAAATTAAATACCTTTTTTATATAATTGAATTTTTTCCCAAATAATTGTATAGTTAACTCGTAACCAATTCCTGCAGATCTAATGCTGAAGAACTACGAAATAAAAACAGAAGGTCTTGAAAGAAATTCGAAATGGAAAATTAATAACAAATTGTCTGGGTTTATAAAAAAAAAATCTGCACATTGCTACTTGAACATTAAGATTTCCAGGAGAAATGCTCGTTTAAAGTCATTTTACAAGTTCTATGGTCGATGCAATGACTTTTTAAGTTAAATGCTAAATGACGTTTTTCATACTAATTATTAGGCCATTATTTACACACTGAATTGTCTACGGATTTTTCCGTTTTCCCCGATCATTACAAGGAACACACGGCGGGTGTGGCCGGTCGGCAGGGTATGCTCACTCCTCCATGGCACCATATCCCAACTCTGACGTTTTAGAGATCTGTGTTTGTTCTGCTCCTGATTTGTATTGTTTGAATGGACTTGAGCTTGAATATACTGCTCATTATATCCATATTTCACGTAATAAACATTTAGGTAAGCCTGCGATATTATATTATACAAACATTATAAACAAGAAGTCTGTGGGCCATTGCTTACTAGTAATACCCCCGCTCTGATGTGAATATAAGCTCTCGTGAATCACACCATAGACAAAGAGTGTGCTAAAATTTCAAACACCTGTGATGAGTAATTGCTGACAATACTGCGACGAAAATTTGGTATAGACAGACGCACGGAAAACAGGAAGTAGACATCAGATTTGTACAAAAATGAATCTTACCTTATGGCATACCTAGACAAAGAGTGTGCTAAAATTTTAAGCACCTGTGGTGAGGAGTTGCTGAGAAAAGTCAGAAAAATGCGACATATATTGTTACGGCCAGACGCACGGATAAACAGGAAGTTGACATCGGATTGACATTGGATTTGTACAAAAATGGCATGCCTATAGACAAAGAGTTTGCTAAAATTTCAAGCATTTGTGATGAGTAGTTGCAAAGAAAACTGCGACGAAAAGATGTTACGGACAGACACACGGACAAACAAAGGGTAAAACAGTATACCCCCCCTCTCCTTCGGAGCGGGGGTATAATAATGAAATTATCAATACCTCTAAATATGATTCGGTAAAAGTAAAAATGTACCCAGTAATTCTCAAGATATATAACAATACTGGAGACAAGAAAGTCGGAAATCGACAACATTATCAAGAGAAAGGTTGATGATTATTTATTGTTTAATGGCGCGTCGGCAATATTTTAACCATATTTCGGCGTTTAAAAGTCATGTTCTATGACCGGTTTAAATGTGATTACATGAAATCTGATTTCAAAAGGAGACAGTCAGATGTATTTTTGTTTAATTAAAAGATTCTAGTGAGCTTATCTTAAATCGACGTGCGATGGTCATTTAAAAAAATATGTACATGTACATGTAGACGATGTACCTCTTCGCATTCATCATATTTATTTTTAAGATGGTAACATTTTCAAATTATTAAAACATTTATTTTGTGGATGTGTGAAGTTTCTGTGATTAAATAGAACTCATCTTACTCAATTTTAAAATGAACATGTTTTGTCACCATGGAAACCGCCTAAAACATCGTATCGTCTAAAATAATGTCTCGAAAGTATCTCAAAATTACTTTGCCTTTTCATTTCATAAACGGTCTGTAGCGCCTTACTCGTTTATAAAAATGTATCTATAACACGATACACCTAGTTTGCTATCAAATTAGTTGGTAATGAAATATATGGAGATAACGAACAGTATTCAAGCTCAAAAGTCCATTAAACAATACAAAATAGGAGCAGAGCAAACACGGACCTCCAAAACATCGGTGCCATGGAGGAGTGA